CCTCGATGGTCCGCTTTGACTGGTTGTTCAAGCGCTGCTTCAGCTCCACCTTCTCCGATTCCAGCTGGTCGATATCTGCCTGAAGAGCATCCATGGTCTCCTCGAACTCCCTGGGCAGAGCACACCGAGTCACGGGGTTAGCCAGAGACGCTCCTCCGAAGGAGAGAGGCAAGCGGTCCAGGACCCGAGAGCGCCTGGCTGTGTCGTGCCTCCTGCCGCTGCTGGGCTTCGAGCACAAACCTGCTGATCCAGGGGCTGGGGCCCCACCAGCCTCTGCTGCAGATCGCAGCGTAGCACACGGACGTATTTATCCGTCACAAACCTCACATCTCCCTGTCTGTTTTGGCCAGCTTCTACCCGGCAAGACAGTCCTCCCTCCACTCCGCAGGCTGCATCTCCCTGCTTGTCCACAGGCTCGCTCTGCCAGCAGACCGCGTGAGGCAAGAGACGCGTGGAGCACAGCAATGGTAGTAAGAACACGCCAGGACAATGGCCCTTTCCACAAGAACACCTGAACAGGACCTTTCCCAGGACCCTCTGCCAGCCTGTGCTCTGCCGTGCACTGTTAAAATGTGCTGGTTCCCCTGCAGATCCTCCGCTAACATCCCCCCTCCACTAACCCACAAACCCTCCAGCCAGCCCGAGGGACCACCGGCTCTCCCGTCCTCATCAGAGCCGCTCCAACAGCAGCCCCACCTCACACTTACTTCTCTTTCTTTTTGAGCAGCGTCTGGGTCTCATCCAGCTTTGTCTGTATCTTTTCCACACGGTCATCTGCATCCTTGGACGCACTGTCCAGCTTCTTCTCCAGGAGGCTGAGCCGCACGTTTGCTTCGCTGAGCTCCTCACCCTGGAGCGACAGGAAAGAGATCAGAGAGCTCCAGGGTCCTGGGGACGGTGGGCACGAAGAAAAGCTCCTTGCAGCACCTGGGGGGAGCCTGCCCAGAAATCACAGCTCCTACCCACACTGCACCTACGCTCGGTACCCAGGCACCAACACTCCCCGTCCCAGGACGTTGGCGGGGAAAGGCCAGGACAGTCTCTGGCCGGGAGGCACCAGGCAGACAGCACCTCCCTGACTCCCCGACAACATCTGGCTGGGGCTCGGGACCATCAGCTCCGCAGGCACGAACGTGACCACTACAGCAGCACGCAGCTCTTCGCTGACCAGCCAGGAAGGCAGAGATCGACTGAAGAACAGCCTACCTTGATCTTGAGGGACTTTTTCAGTTCTTTGATGACTGTCTCCCTGTCCTCCAGCTTAAGCCCCAGCCCCTCAGCATCGGTGATCTCTGCCCGAAGAGCCGCTGCCCGTAGGTCAGCAGGTGGAGTGGGCTGCAGCGGAGACGCGGGCAACAAGATAGAAAATTGTTATTTTACAAACAATTCCAGTAATTGCAGATGGGGCCACGCCGTTCCCGGCCTCCCTGAGTCCCGCGGGCACCTGCTGCACCTCCCCAGCTCTCTGCCCCGCAGCACACCCAGAAGACAGTCTCCTGCCAG